GAATGTCATTGGTTTTGTAGACAGGCTCTTTGGTCATATGCCAAAGTACTAGACAAATTTAATTAAAAATTTGACCTCATATTGTGCCCGTTAGCTCACCTGCTGGAGTGTGCACCTCGTCTACTGAGTCATTTCAGCAGCTCTGGTTGATTCCAGCCTTTGGCTCTTTGTTGCATCTCACCCCTCTCTCTCTCTCTCTCTCCACTTTGCTGTCACTCTTCTGCTACTCGACCAAATAAGGGTAATAATAATCCCCCAAATTATTTTATAAAAACTAATTTGACCTCAAGATGACACTAAAGAAAAAGTCAGGGGTTCACCAAAGTCATTTTAAATCATCGTAAAGGGGACATGAATGTCTGTAACAAATAGTAGGTAAGATATTTTACAAAACCCCCAAAATGTCAACAGCATGGGGGAGTAAAAGTCAGCAGGATTCATCCTCTGGGAACCATGAATGTCTTTGCAACATTTAATGGCAATCCATCCTTGAGATGTTTCAGTCTGGACCAAAGTGGTGGACCGACCAACAGAGAGACAAACTGACATTGCACCCCCTAAGAGCCATCCCACTAGCATGGCTATAAATAGAACAAAGGGCGTGTTTTAATGACAATGCTTTCTTGAACCTAATCTCACAGTAACATAAATAGAAAAAAGTCCTCACACATATTATCTCTCCTAGGCTTTATTCCTCCTCAGCCACAGGATCCATTTCCTTCACTCTGTGCTTCTCTCAGAACAACAGTATCACTTCTACATGAGCAGATCCCTTGAACTATGAGAGTGATTGCTTTGCAACTGAATAATTTCTCTGTGCTTTCTCTCTCTCTTTTTTGTCTCAAATGCATGTTTTCAGAGGGCTGGGGATGGACAGTTTAATGCTGGGGGCTGGTGACACTGAAGTCCTGGTGAGATGTCCTTGAGTGGCAACACGAGCCAATCTTCTCCGTCAACGTCAGCTCTGCCTCTGTCCCTCAACAGCTCCATCACTCCACGTTCCCTACCATGGGAGGAGGGAAGAACCAGTCATGAGTCTGTGCAGGAGTGGCTGGGAAATAAGACCCAGCTCCTCTCAGACCTTGCTGTTCTCGGGCATGATGAGCAGTGCCCTATGTCTGCTGTCCTCACGGCATGTCTTGTAGTGTGGTACAGCCTTACAATGGTGCTGGGGCTGCTGGGGAACATCGGCCTCATTTCCATCATCGCCCATCGCAGAGAAAAAGTCAATGTTACCAGCATTTTTATCTGCAACCTGTCATTCTCTGACATTCTGGTGTGTGTCTTCTGCCTCCCCTTCACCGTCATATACACGCTAATGGACCATTGGGTGTTTGGGTCGCTGTTATGTCGTCTGGTGCCATTCATCCAGTGTGTGTCTGTGACCGTGTCTGTGCTCTCGCTGGTGTTCATCGCTCTGGAAAGGCATCAGCTCATCATTAACCCCTCTGGATGGAAACCAAGTATTCCCCAGGCCTATATTGCACTTGTTCTCATTTGGATTCTTGCCTGTTTCACATCTTCACCTTTCTTGGCCTTTCAGCTCCTCACAAATGAGCCCTATGTAATACCAATCCCACTGGAGTCTCAGCTCCATCAGCAAGCCTCTCCTCAGGCTTATCTCAATGCATCTCCACCTCAACCTGTCTCCTACACATTCAAAAACTCATCTGGTCTTCCAAATTCATACCGTACCCTCTTTTCTTACATCCCCGCCTCTCCACATATGGAGGCCTGTCTGGAGCACTGGCCATCCCAGCATCACAGGCTTGCTTACACCACATGGCTCCTGCTCTTTCAGTACTGTGGTCCATTACTATTGGTCCTGCTCTGTTATGTTAGAGTTTTTGTGCGCCTTCGCCACCGCAAAGACATGCTGGACCGCGCCAGGACCCCAGAAAGCCAGCGCATGACCCACAGCCGTCGAATCAACATCATGCTTGTTGCCCTCATAACAGCATTTGCCCTTTGCTGGCTGCCGCTCACCATCTTCAACGTGGTGTCAGACTGGAACCAGGAGGCTCTCCCCATCTGCCACCACAACCTGCTGTTCTCCCTCTGCCACCTGCTGGCCATGTCCTCCACCTGCATCAACCCCATCATCTACGGCTTTCTCAACTCCAACTTTCGGCAGGAGGTGAGAGAGGTGCTCCTGCACTGCCGCTGCAGCCCACTAGAAGAAGAGTTTGAGCGTTTCCCCATGTCCACCGTGCACATGGAAGTGTCCCGCACCTCTGTGCCTCTCAACTGCAGGAGCAACTCTGTTTGACTTTGATGTTAGGATACTGCTGTAGGATGTAGTCACATAAACTGTACAGGTATAGGACTAACTTCTGTTTGTTCTACCTTTAATGACAAGTTTTGACAGTGGTTTAAAGTGCAACATTTTTGTCAGTATTTAGAAGTGAAGTGTGCAGTATAATGTTGGTTTATCTTTTTATGAAGTAACGTTTTATGAAGAGTGTGTTGATGTGAAGAACTCAAAAGAAAAGTGCCATCTGTTGCTGTGTCCTAATTGTATACAGTATGTACTATATGCTATTCATGACAGTATACAGATTTCTTTTTAGGATAGGTATACAAGAAATCAACATATTTTACCATTTTATATTAACAAGAAATTATTAAATTTGTGCCTCAATGGATGTCAGACTAATGTGAATTTAACTTTTAATATTTTATACAAAGTATGTTGGAACTTTACTCTCTCTGCAAGCTGCATATTGTGATACTATCAATATACAGAAGGGGAAGTTCAGGGAAAAACCTGAATAAACAAAAGGAGAAACCAAACAAATGAAGATACAAGGCACGAGGGGTCAGTGAATACATTTTTTCTTGACTATTACATTCAGACTACCACAGATTTTACTAATAACATTAACAATGGCTCTGATTTATTCAAGTTTCCCAGCACGCTATGACAGTGTGACATTGAACCAGTGTGCACAATAATCCAGGCAGCAGTTTTACGTTTGTCACCATAATGTAATATGAAAACAATTTAGTATTATACAGACTTCATTTCTCGGAGACAGGGTTGTACCAAGAGCCTGACACTGAAGAAGTTAAATTAAATTCAGCCACCATTACTGTTACACCAACTTAACCTACTGTGACATGTTAAAATCATATGAAAAAGGTCCATTGTTTGATGAAGTATAAAACAAATGTGACTGTACTGCGGCCCTCATAGTCGCCAGACCTTAATCTGAACGGCTGGTAGATTTTGGTTACACAGCGCTCCCCACCACAATCATCAAATGAATGGAATGAATCCAGAGTTTCAGAGACTTGGAGAAAGGAGCGCTGCAGCTGTTCTTAAAGCTTCTCGTGGACCAACAAACTGCTAAGAGACGTTTTTTTTACATGTTAGATTTTCATTTGATTTGTCATGGTACTGTATATTGTACTGCAAAGTAACACAGATGCAATTTGTGACGCACATGTAAAGAATGATTTCTTTCATGAATATAGTGCTGCTGTTGTATTTCTTAAATTTTTACATGAATTATTTTGTATTTATGGCATGTGTGCTGTGACATCAGTGTGTGAGCTTCTACAGTGGAAAAAAAAAATGAGGTGTAGTTTGTTTTGTGATTAATGTGACTTATAGAGATAACGGCTCATAACATTGTTAAATTTTAAAACAGCTTCAGACAAGTTTAATAAATATAGAAAGAACATCAAATGTGTTACCCCATGGTTTTAATTGATATTCATGTGTATATTAAAATGTGTTAGTACTATTTTGGTGCAGGGAAGGGTGTTTTATGGAGATGCACCATGTTCTCACATATCTTCCATGACACGTTAGACCTGTATACATAGATTAAATACCTGATAATCCAAATGCTTGTTTATAGCTGTACGTGTGAGACTGTATGCCAATGCAGGTAATTTATATGCGCCTGGTCTGGTTTAATAATCAAAGTAGTTGGACAACCATATGCTGTATATAGAAAAAAAGATTTTCTAAACTACTACCTCAAATGCCTTTTCTTTTCTCTGTATTAAACAATATAAAACACTTTTTTCTTTCTTTGCTGCATGGGGAGAAACACAATGAGATAAATTTAAATTAATGACTGCTTTCTAAGATTAGATTGAGTTTGTCTCCTAAAACAACAGCTATCCAGTCTGTAAAGACAGCCAAAGAGCCTATTGCATATTGAATATGGTTTCTGTCTGCAAAAACAACGAGATGTCTAGAGTCTTAAAAAATATGTAGTTTTGAAAGCAAGAATTGCATCTGAACACACACAAAAATTAAAGGTCACCTTAGACTGTCTGCATGATAATATATTCAACAAATCCACCGTCAAACCAGGACAGTCATGTTTGGTTGAACATGAAAAATAGGCTTTCGTCCTAAGAGCCTTTGATTGATCTGGCTAAGTCGCTCCGAGCAAACTTGAGGAAACTTGTGAGTTTATTTATTACATTAGTAGGTTTATAGTAATAGAAATAGAAAAGTTTTAAAGAAACAACATTTCCACCACGTCTGAGAGCAAATCAAGTCATTTTAACAGAGTAACGTGCTTTTCTAATCATATAATATATAGTTTATAATATATAATACATAATAATATAATATACAACAGCTTAATTCGTTCAGTGAAAGGAAAGGTCGAGGTTTAAAGTACACTTGTTGGGGCTCTCCTCGGGGGAAAAGCACATTGTTCCCTTTACCATCACTTCTGCGTCCGAGGTGACGTATACACCTGTCAGCCAATCACGGCCCGTCGTCCCAGAATGCAACGCATCACAAACTGCACGCGCGAACCACGCACACACACCGTCGTCAGGTAACATTGTTAAAAACTGCGCGATTTAAACCTCACCTGCATAAAGTAAGTGCACGGAAAGTACTCAAAACAACACTGGTGGCTGTCTGCACTCGTGTGTGTGTGTCAGTGTGTGTCAGTGTGTGTGTGTGTGTTTCAGTGTGTGTTTCAGTGTGTGTGTGTGTGTGTGTGTGTTTCACGGAAGTGTTCACTCTCGTTAGCCTCAGCAGCTAAGAGTCAACAAGTAGGTTACTTAGCAAAACTTAGATTAAACGAAGTAACTTAGCGGTGAAATAGCATCAACACTGATGTTATAAGCGATGTAAGTTAGTGGAGATTGAATGGTGTCAGCGGGAATTAACTGGGTTTGATCCAAGAATGTGTTAACTTAAGTATTGTTATCGATGAGTTGTGTAAACAGTCGTCGAAGTGTTAGCTGTGTGGGTTTAGTTAACTTACAGATTGAAACTTGTATCTGCACAGTTTTACAGTTTAACTGGTTTATTAACGTTAGTTATTGTTTTTTTCTGACTGGAAGGATAAAGCAGAGACACAGTCGCTTCAACTCGATAAGCTGCCTGTTTTCTCCATCTCATATCTTCATGATATTATAACAAATATGCAACTTTACTATTTTCTCCTGATGGTCAGACAGCAGTGTTTTTAGGCTGTGATCGACTGTCATTCGGTGTTTGTTGTGATCTGTGGGGGTCACAGTGAAAGTAAAATTCCTGTGTTTTGTAAAAGCTGATCTTCTGTCTCAGAAAATGTCTTCATTGGTTTTTGTGTAGGTGAATCTTGGAGCTAAAGAGGCCAGTAATGACCACAACCACCAGCGGTTCAGTTCTTAAAGGTATTGTACATCATCTTAGTTTTACTGCTGTTAATTGGGGCTAAACTTTGCGTCCTTTGGTTTGAGTTAATGACTCTGTTCAATGTGCCTGCAGATGTCGTTGCCTATGTTGATGTGTGGTCTTCAGACAAAACAGCAAACTATTCAAAACCATTTGTTCAGCAGCTGCAGGAAATGGGAGCTCAGGTAAGACCACAGGGCCAATAAACACATTTGCACTACATTAGATACCATTTACTGTATTTACAATAGACATGTACATCACTTAGGAAATGAAACGCATCAGCAGTAGTATTTTGATTAATGGTAAAGCGTATATCCATTGTTTGCTTTGATGGTGTGACAACTTGTGCAAACTGATCAGCATTTTTGGGGGGTTGAGCATCTACTTACTATCTTTGTTTGTGTATACTTTGCAAAACCTAAATTCCCTTTCTTTTCCAGGTATCAAAAACATTCAATAAACAAGTCACACATGTGGTCTTCAACAATGGTCACCCAGCTACATGGAGGAAAGCCAAGAAAAGTGGTGATGTGAGGCTCGTCTCTGTTCTCTGGGTAGGCAGGTAAGAATAACACTAAGAGTTGTGTACTTTCTTAACTTCCAACAATAGTATGATATTTCACAAGGTATTTTGATGGTGTTGTTAAGAAGTTTTACAAGACGTTGTTGTCTTTTCCATCGTCTCTTAATGTGGCTTATTTTTTGTGAAATAACTTCCAGATGTTACGACGACGGTGTGCGTGTGGATGAGGAGTTGTATCCAGCTATAGATGAAACCAACCCAGTGTTAAAAAACAAGAAAGTGAGTAGAGTCAGATTTACATGTAATGTTTATGTTGGTGTCGCAGTTTAAGCTGTAATTGTAAATAAGTGTTGGACCCCTGTTTGTCGAGTCATTGTTTCGGCTGATTTTGGGTCACTGACCAAGCTCTGTTCTTCACCTGATCAGAATCTGTAAACAAGGTGTCAAGTGGTCCTATTTTAAATGTTCTTAAATACAAAAGCCAGGCCTTAAAGTTCATTATTTTGTATTATATTAGAATTTATGAGCTTTTGATTTCAGCATAAACATCGTGTGGCAGTAAAACAGAAGCTACGATATACACCGATCAGCCATAACATTATGACCACTGACAGGTGAGGTGAATAACAGTGATTATCTGGGTATCATGGCTCCTGTCAGTGGGTAGGATATATGAGGCAGTAAGTAAACATTTTGTCTTCAGAGTTGATGTGTAAAAAATGTGCAGTGTGAGAATTTGAGTGACTTTGACAAGGACCCAATTGTGATGGCTGGATGACTGGGTCAGAGCATCTCCAAAACTTCAGCTCTTGTGGGGTGTTCAGTCTGCAGTGGTCAGTACTGATCAAAAGGGGTCCAAGGAAGGAAAAGCGGAGAACCAGAAACAGGGATATTGATGCACGTGGGGAATGAAAGCTGGCCCATGTGGTCCGATCCAACAGATCCAAAATGCTGGAAAAGTTCATACTGGTTCTGATAGAAAGGTGTATGCATATCGGGCTGCATGACATTATGACCCCCTCATAATGTTTTGTCTGATCGATGTAAGACCTAATACTTCTACTACCTCTATTCTCATACTGAGTCTGACTCACAGAGAAAAACACACATGAAAACTTACCAAATTGAATGGAACAAACAGCATATGAAAGTAAGCTGTTATTCTGGCTCATGTTAACTAATTGTAACCCCTTTGAAGCGTCTTATATTCTAAAAGAATTCCTATAGTTTTTCTGTATTTTTTCTATGTGATGACTAAAACATTCCTACTTGATTTGACCCAAAATGGCCTTAATGAAGTTTGTAATATTGTATATTTTTTTTTTTTTTATATGTCCTTGTGTTCTTATGCCTGTTATGAGTTTGTCCATTGTTCAGCTTCTCTATGCAAAGTTATTACCTTGGCATTTTAGTTGAAATGAGTATTCAAGCTATTTTCTGTTAAAAATATTTTTTGTATTTGATTCATGTAGCATCGTTGCATGCAGCCAAAAGATTCTCCAGAGAGGACACCTGAAAATGACAGACGCATGAGGAAAAAATTAGACAAGATGATGAAAGATTTAGTACCAAAACAACCTCTTGGTAAGATATTAGAACACCTTTTTATAAACTTTTAAAACTAGTGGATGTAGTTGGTCATTCACAGTTATTTTTTATCCACAGTTACAGATGTGTCGCCCATCATTATTGACGAAGAGAACGGAATAGTCTATAGCCCTGCGTTGAAAAGATCGGATTACATGGCACAGCGTTTGAAAGACATGAAAGAGAAACGGGAAAACCTCTCACCCACAGGTATGTGCAGCAGCGGTTGTGCAGCCTGATGAACTGACAAGGTCTTTATATTTTAGCACTTTTGAAACACCAAACATTCACATATATGTCACTGTCTTTCAGCTTCACAAATGGTTGAATCCTGCTCACCCACCAGGCGGAAACCTTCCCTTGGGAGCACACCGACTGTCCTCAAGTTAATGTGTAAGAAAATATGGTGTGATCCTCTTGTTACTGATAAAAAGCTGGCAGGTTTAGCAACAAGATGAAGCCAGAGGAACCCACGTGTTGAAATCCAAGATAGCACTTTATCTTGGACTAAATCCTACATATTGGTTTTTGCTCAAGATCATAAAATAAGGTGAATGTTTGAAAACAGTAAACAAATAGTTCAGATATGTATTATTTTCTGTGTCTGTGCTTCCTGTGACCATTGTGAGTGTGTTCATGCATCGTACTGTTTTAAAGCTGCATTATAAGAATCTCGCTACTAGAGACGGTAACCGGCAGAAACAGGGCAACATTGGCATCCCACTGGAGTCTCTTGAATGTGCAGTAATTACTTGTCTTTTGCCCCCATTTGCTCTGACAGCTCCTAAGAAAAATAGTACATTACGTTACATTCATTAGGCAGACACTTTTGTTCAAAGTGACTCAGAAGAAATGCATTCAAACCACATAGAGACAAGAGCTAGATGTTAGCCAAAACTGAGAGTATATCCCTTTTACACAAATATCCACTGCTTTTGGTTATTTAGTTTAGGGCTACTGCCGTAATGTTTGCAACTCCCAGGTTTTGCCATCTGAGTTGGCACCTACAAGAATAGCTGGGTGTCATTGACATTGCAGTGGTGGGAGAAGCCATATGAGTGTAGTGCTTGGTTTCTTTAACTTGCTACATAAGCAGCTCCCTTGATCAGCCTCTTGTCAACTCACCCTCTCCGTAATGTGAAGTGGAAGCCTGTGCTTTTATATAGTGGAAGTCAATTGGTAGCTGAATATACTGACAAACATCAAACAATGTAATCTAGAAGATGCTTAAAACTAAGTCTTAGTATTTTTCCTCAATATAGATGACCAGTCGGATGATGATTCCAGTGCCTCTGTTGCTGAACCTGCTTATTCGCCTGATAAGGAAGAAGGGAGAACACAGTGTGATGTTATTGACCATGGCCATTCTGAACAACGCCACCGGAAAGGCTCTGAAAAGCCCTGGCTGTCACCCTGCCGTGATGTGCCAAAACGGATTTCAAGTCCTTTGAAATGTCCTGACATCGGTGTCAAAGACGGGAATAGCCCAAAAAAGTCAAGAAGGACTTCGGTCAAAAAGAAAACAGCAGAGAAACACAAATCATTAGGTTTATTAGAAAGCCCTCGCCAGGATAGGAGATCTGACGACAGCAAGAACTTCAGTAAAGAAAAAAGGCGATCGCATATAAAATCATCCAGTCCGTCGCCTAACAAATCTGAAAAGGGAAAGCGGAAAATGAAAGCCGCTAAATCCTTCACAGAGCCTAAGACCCACTTTTTCCCTGACGCTGTGAACTCTTCTAGTTGCCTCTCGTCTCCAGCCAAGTTGGGTGATGCTTCAGTTGAACTGTCAAAAAAAACTTCTTCTCCATTACAGAAAATGGAACAGAAAATACCCAAACGAGCCAGACAGTCACTTTCTACCTTGGTACGATCATTCACTCTATCCTGTGACTCTAAAAGTGTTGCCTCAGGTTCCACGGATGGTGGAGATGATAATGTGTTTGAGGACTACTTCTCCCCAGCTAACCACCGCCAGCAATCAAAAACACCTCTTTTGCCTAATCTGCCTGTGGAGGGAGACATTCAGATTCCTTTTGAGTTTGCCTCTGTCCCAAAGAAGAGAAAACCCCGAAGAAGTGAAAGCATTGGATCTGAAACTAACAGTAAAAAGAAGAAGAAACTGGAAGAAAGTCGCAATCAGCAGTTTGATACAAGCAGCGAGGCTCCGAGTCGTCCTAAACAGGATGTTAAAGAATCTCTGCCTGCGTTGGATAGTCCAAGTGCCAATATAACACCTGTGCCTAAAAGGCGAAGACAAAGCACCTTGCCATTTACAAGCATCAGTACGACTACAAGTAAAGCAGTAAAACCGAGAAGAGCATCTTCATCAGCACAGTCAGCAATGTTCACAGAGGCTAACACTGATGTCAGTGTCCTTTCTCATACCGTGGAAAGTGAGTAGTAAGGCTGACAGAGTTTATAAAGTATATAATGGACCCAATACTCTTTCTTCTGTTATCGTTATCATTATGAACTGAACAACACAAAATATCACTGATGGTGTTTGAACTCTCACAACGGTGGAGGTTTGTAACTGTGTGTAATCCCTGGGTCATGTATGTGATTTCAAAAAGGTCCGCAACATAACTTCAATGTTGGATCAGTGAATGATTCCCTCCAGCTAGATTTCTTAAGGGGAAATTTTGTTTCTGGATGTGACATTTTAAAGAGGAGAATAAATAAAATAATTTCTACGTAACTAAATGAGGCCTTTTTATATGAATATTTTCGTAATATTCTGTATGTGTGTTTGTCTTTTAAAGGCCTAATTTGTGATTTAGATCATAAATTTGTGGTATATGTACACATGTAGTATATGTGTGTGTATATAAAGTATCTGTATGTACACATATATAAAGCTCGAATGAATTGGAAGCTGTATTTGCTCGTAGGTGTGCATTTGTCTGTCATTATGTGTCAGACTGGCAACCGGTCCGGGGTTTACCTCGCATCTCGCCCAACGCATGCTGAGGCCCTGACCCCCAGGAACCTGAACAGGATAAGAAGTTTTGAAGCTGGACAGAGTTACAGATTGAAAATCAGTATTCAATATGTTTTTCAACTGATCATAATGAAAGTCAAGGCTTCTTCACTGTTGAAAACATTTACTGATGTCAACAAATCTAAACTATCAAATCTGTAACTGTGTATTAGAAGATGAGTTTAGTTACTGTGTTTGGAGTTTTGCTGATAATGTGGTCGTTTTGATGACATTTAGATCACAGATTCATTGAAACTACTGATAAAAGTATGTTAAATGAGTCTATTCTCTGACATATTTGAAGGATATTTAATATATTATTAAAAAAGGTGTCAAATTTATGAGCCCTGAGAATATTTGAGTCCCCATCTTAGTTAACTTTATTCTTTGAAATAATGATTTGTTTGAGTTTTATTTAATTCAGATTAAAGTGAGCAGTCTGTTACTTATCATGTGGTAATGAGGCAGCAGTAAGTGGTTTGATAATGTTGCAGATTACAGTTTCATGTTACAGTTTTTCAGCCAGGTGTGAATGGAGAGACGATGGCACACAAACAGTGCCTGCTGTGTGATAGCTTGAGTAACACCCCCCCACGCTGTTTTCAATCGTTTTTCTTGTTTTCAAATGTAGGTAGAGGAAATGAATGTACAGTTGCAGCTGGTTTAACAGAGATTCCCTCTGAAGACGAGGATCACAATAAGCAAGTCAGCTTGAGTCTTCAAAACATGGTCAACGAAACAAAGGTAAGAGGTTTTTTAATGTTTAACTCAGTTGAATTGTGTAATTTAGTGTCGATTCAGATTTTTCTGCACCTGTTACGTCCCCAGAGAGCACATAACCCATCATAGTACCTACGTTTTTAAAAAGAAATCATGTTGATGAAATGTTTCCTACTGTGTTATGGGAAAAAATTGGAGTGGGACTGGAAAAACAGGATGCAATGAGTATTTAGTCACCAGTGGGAAGCTTACTGATTCATTAAAAATACTGATGTCCTGATTTCTGATGACATTGGATTAAACCATTTTAATTACAAATCCCCCAATTTCTAATTTATATACATTTTCTTTGTAATTGTATCTATTTTGCTTTTGTATCAGCTAATTTTGATGTAGTTGACTTTTGAGACTTTTCCTCATTTTAGTGACATTCTCAGTTCCGACCAGTCTGAACTTTGCACAGTGCATGGTTTATTTTATTCATCACATAAATACAGAAACAGTGTAAAAATGTTGAGTTAGACGCATGTTCTATGTCTTCTTCACACTTTCATTGACTTGAGCTTGTCTTTTATTGATCTTCCAAAGCTATTGCAGCTGTATACTACGACAAAATCCTGTGACAATTACAGTTTTCTGTAATATAGGAAGTTTAGGAAGTAAACTAAACATGAGTAGTGTGCGTGTGTAAGTCCTTTTTGAAGTATTTCCTCCATAAGGTCATACACTTCCATAGCTGTAGGCGTTTGACGCATCTAGTAAAGAGGTTCTGTCTGGTCCTGAGGGGGCTTCCTGTGTTTTTGCCTCTGTGATGGTAGCATACAACTTCCTCGCTCGTGAAATGCACCTGGGCTCTGTTTTCGTTACGCTGGTAACCTCAACAAGCTGTAGCTGAAACGAGCCAAAACTTGACGTCATCTCCCCCGGGGATCTGTTATGGTTTGACTTCATTGTAGCCTGATCACAGAGACGTTGCAGTTGTTCTCTTAGTTCTGTAAAGCTCACGATAATAGATGAATGTCCAAATATGAGGCAGTATTGGTAAACGTGGTCATTCGTGATTAAGTGCTTGGAGGTAACACCTACATGGCTCACCAGTCTTTGAAAGTGCAGATGATAAACTGATAAATTTCATGCTGCTTGACTTTGGGTGAATGCAGTGCAGATGTGCTGTTGCAGTTGAGACTCTGACATTTGCAGAAAATGTCACCAGATTACATGTGTTGAACACAACAACAGAATTATTTTGTTTATTTTTAGCAGGTTACGAAGGCTCAGTAATGAATAAGTCTTTACTTCAAATCAGATGTGGACCTCACGTGTCATTTATTTATTTATCTCCTTATGATTCCTACCACTCTTTACTGTGAATAATCTATTAAAGATACAGTTCTTTGAAAAATCATCGTCCGACCAAGAAAGCACTTCAACGTCCTCCTATGTGACCCAATTTGATCTGTGGCTCTTTGTTGCGTGTCATTCCTTATCAGTATTTCCTCATTTCTTCTCATCTCTCTGCTGTCAGTTCTATAAGAAATCCATGAAAAGGCTTCAACAATGCTCTAAAAATGTATTTTCCATCTATCATAATGTGATTGAGATCTCTTTGATTTTCTGAATAGTGTCATTTTCAGTGCGCAGAGTAGCAGCCATCAAGCAGACCTAGTCATACAGTGAAGAATTTCCTTCATTTGTGCTCAGAGGCCGTGCTGCAGTTCACACCAGCTCTTTGTCAGAGGCTCATTATGTGAAACTCATTCTTCAGTGCCTGTTTTTTCTTTTGCTGCTCCCAGAACATGTCCACTGCATAAGATAAGCCAAAGTCCCCTTTGAGGAACTGTCAGAATAGCTGCCCATGTTTTGAGCTGTTTGACTTAGTTTGAAAGGGCTCCAAACGAGCCGATTTTCTGGTCACCTTTTTTGCAGTCCTGTAGCGTTAGGTAACCCTCTTGTGGATCATTAACAAACTGGAATATCAAAACATTTTCCTTTTGAAGAAAGCTTCTGTCTGGACAACTGAGGAGTAGCAGTCATGGGGCGGTGGTGACTGACTCAATGACTTCCCAACTTGCTTATCAGAAATAATGTGATGTTTGACTGGTGTGGGCCGGGCTGGCGGACCGTTTTGGCACCGCTGTGTATAGCAGGCCTTAACCCCTGACTTCCAGCTGGGGGACCAGATATCAGAGTGTGGCAGGAAAAGGCCCGGTGGTCCTGTTTGTAACTGCTGCTCAGGTGTTTGTGTTAATGATAGCTTGCTGTATTGGGGCCAAAGTACGAGTCTGGATGGACCACAGTCGTCAGGTTACAAATTTACAGTTCCGTTTCAGTCGCCCTGAATATGTTTTTCTCTCCTCGTGGCCTTGGTATTTGATTTCCTTTTTGGTCTCTATGCAACTATATATCCGGCAGGGTTATTGAAAGTGCACGGTCTGTCTGGCTTTTGAATAATGATCCTTTTATTTGTTCAGTGCTGTATCATGCAACAAACCAGCTCACAATACTTACCCCCAGAAGAAACATACATTACATTTCCTAGTGTCTTTGAGCCATTTACATTTATAGATACTGTTTTATCTTGGCTACGTTAAAGTGTAGATTTGTTCTACATGGAGTTCACATATTTTACTCGTTTTTTTTCTCACTATTTTTTCTACAAACACAAGCCAAGAAACAAATGAAGCCAGATCTGTTCTTTATAGCTGCTACACTTCTATTAAATGTAATACAATGTGGGGTTTCTAGATCACATAGTGAGGCTTAGATCTACTCCCCAAATATAAAATAGGTGTGAAAGCATCGAGTTCAAGAGCATGTTGTGTAATGGTTTAATTGATTTCAGTCTCTGTTTTCTCACTTCAAGCTTTTGTCAGATTTCTTCACAATGACATTGGTTTGCACAATATTACTTGAACTGTCAATGACCGTTTAAGTAAAGAGGAATTTGGTTAAGAAAAATGTTTCATCCCTATCATAATTCTGTGTGTTTGTCTTGTTTCAGGCTATGAGAACATTGGTCATGACAAGCATGCCCTCTGAGTAAGTACATCGAACTTTTCAAACACTTTTTGTCACACTGGTGAGGAAGTTGGTAAAAAAAAAAAAAAAAAAAACTAATTTAATAGTTTGTGTTGGATGCTTTCTACTCATTTCACCTCTTGTAGGAAGCAGCAAACAGTGGGTCAGGTGGTGAAAGCACTGGGTGGTTTTGCAATCGTTGACCGAGTGTGTGAGAGCACAACTCATGTGGTGTCTGGGGGTCACCGGCGGACTCTCAATATACTGTTGGGCATAGCTCGTGGCTGCTGGATCCTCTCTTTTGAATGGGTATGTAGATTGAATATGTCGCAATAACCACTATTGATGATATTATATTATTTAGAATAACGATGAAGTCTGACACTATCTTTTATTTTAATTTTTCCTGAGTAGATTCTCTGGTGTTTGGAGCAAAGGCAGTGGATTCCAGAGGAACCATATGAACTTTCAGACCAATTTCCTGCAGCACAGGTGAGTACCAGTACTAATCTAATACTAGTAAAAGTGTCCATGACACAAATACTACCAGCGTTAAACTGCACTGTATACCTCACTATGTTTTCCATTAGTGCAAACAATCAGATTTATTGATTTCAGTGGCCCTATCATAAGTTAAATATATGGATTTATTTTGTTTTTGGGCACTGTTAGCTGCCTATTTAGCCAGGTGTAGAGTTGCACACTAATATACTTCTTTTTCCAACAGAAATGTTTGTCATACTTGTTTCATATAATATAAATCATCATCATCAATCATATAAATGTTATCACAAAAAATATTTTTACTTTGCCAATGGACAAAAAACCTTTTTGGAATTCCTTCCTAATTACATTTTTCTTCTGTATATAAATCATTTTCTTTTTATAAATCTTTGCAACGCTCTTTTTTGACACTCAAAACTAATAAACGCTCGTAAAACCAAAGCCAAGGAAGCTGGACGGAAACCTGCTAATTTTTATTGCCAGTCATCCATTTTCAGTTCGCTTGTTTTTCCTGAAGCATCCTGTGCGAAATGTGAATGTTGCCTCTTCCTGAACTCGTCATTCATGAATCACTGTCCCCCCCCGCCACTCCGAGGGAAGACAGACGGTCTTGATGGAGACAAATGTCAGCACATTTCCTCTTAGAATTACATGATGACTTTTGTTGTGACAGACAAAGTATTTTCATGTCCCCACGGCCGTTTATCATTCCTTTACTCTTATGGATGCATCCACCACATGCTTCCCTCTTTTCATTCAGCTCCTATGTCCTGTTGAGGTGGAGGAGCCCGGTGTTGCCTTCAGCTGTTGTCAATATTAATGATAGAAACTGATTTTAAAAGTGTCCATTACTATTGTATAAACGGGCAATTGTCAAAGTGAATTTTATTACGTTCCTCTGTTCAAATAATGAGGTATGACCTCAGTGAATCGGCATTAAGATTAAAAGACTGAAGCCTGCATGTCACATAAGGCCAATTTGTGAAGCAGCTCCTACTGTAACTATCCCTTTTTTTATTATTTGTCTCTGCATTAGACCATTCTGGGAAATGTTACAAATCAATAATCAGGATCTTTATATTAATTTATATTAATAAAATACTGTGCTTTAACTCATTAAATTATCCAAAAACAAATCTGGTTATTATTATTATTATTATAATCATAAACAGATTTTCCAGACACATATGTCATGATACATATATCAATATTACAATATAAAATCACATATGCTATAATTTCTTTTATTTTATCAGGATTTTATCCATATTGGCCACAATTAGCTATACACGTACACTTGACATTCTTAATTAAACTGTGATTAGCGACCTCAAAAGCAACACAAATGCAACTTTGGAGCATGTAGAATTTTTATTTTGAACTAGAAATGATAAAACATTGCTGAAAAGGTTGTGGTGAACGTGGTGTGCATTCACCAGGTGGTTCATTGTTGTAGGGCTGAAGAGTCAAGGCTCATGGTTGTGTTTAATATTCAACTTCAGGTATATAACGGCTGGTAGAGCATTACAGTCACTCTGAAAGTTCTAAAGCCAGTGTTTTCTGGTGAGAAAGTCATCTTCCTCACTTTCTCATAAATTCTTCTTGTAGATTCAAAAGAAACATTACATAAATAAAAATAATAATTTTACCAAAAGACTGCAAAAGTATCATCATTATGTTGGAAGGTACTGCAGAATTATATTAAAAGAATTTCTCTTATTTTATGTGCAATTTTATCATTAACTAGCCTGGAACTAGCACTTAAGATCTGTAACAAATCTCCATCATATAGTCTATTGTTAAATATAAACCTTTAAATCTACATATAAATTAAATAACAAATGTACATACATTCTCTGGAGAAATACAACGTCATCTTAAGAAAAACGGTTTCTGTGGCATTTTTTTTTTACATTTGCATTTACATTTTAGGCATTCAACAGAAGATTTTCCAGAACACATAACAATCACTTTGAGCCAGTTGTTTATCTGCATGTTGTACCATAGTCTCTTTTCTACAATGACATGGGCAGCTATGATTCAATACATAGTTAAACGTTGCTTAAACTACATTAAAATCATTCAAGAAATTTAATTAATTAACGTCACATTGTAGTCTGGCCTCTCTGGTTAGCTAGCTGTTATTACTCAATGTTATTACTATACCTTTAGTTATCTATACACACCACAGTCAAAAGTATTGTCAGTATAGATATTTGTCATTTTGACAGTCCGTATTTCACAATGTTTTACAAAAACCCATTTGATTCAAATTATTAAACACATGAACACAATATGCCTTTCCAAAGGTATGCAAAAAATATATTCATTGAAGTGCTTTGGCTCCCTTGAGAATTTTTATTTTTGGTTTTGTTGTTTGTTGCTGTTTGTCAGGCAGAATTTCCTTCCCACTTTGTTTAATCTGAGAGTGACAGTTCAAAGGGAACCCGAGAAGTCTGCCGGTCTGATCATCATTGTGGTGGTCTTCAGTGAGTAGCCCGAGCCTTTCCAGTAGTACCATTTGATTCCATTGAAGCGATTTGAGTTTTGGCCTTGCGGGTAATACATCCCGTTCAAATTGGATGGACCGCAGGCATCAAACCACCAACCTAGAACATCAAAACAAACATTGGCAATTTAAATGTGGTGTTGTCAAAGATGATAACTCATGCAACTCTGTGTAGAACAGGGATGGTGTTTTCTTTAGTGTGATATGTTAACCTGTTTTAAAAAGGGTTGGTGGGCTTTAAACGTTTCTTTCATGCTTGACAGCTGTTTCTGTCGCATATATGAGGAGATTTCTCATGATCACAGGGCAAAGCTACTGAATAAAATCAAATATTACACATATAAAGCCCCTTTCAGAGGTAAACCATCATTACAAATGCATTTTTTTAAAAATAAAGCTGTGGGCAGGAGGTTAACATGAGACAACACTAGAAGTCAAACTAGACGAAATTAAAATTGTATATATGGAGCCATTGTAAACTGTACTATCAGGAGACTGTCTACACTCCTGTAGAGCCTTGGTTGCACTAAAAGACTTTCAAAGTTGTGAGGTCTCTTTCAACTTTCAGTCTACTAATCGGGGGTCTTGAAGTCAGTGTGGTTTCACCTTTTGAGGTTAACAAACTTTAACATCTGCTCCATATAGAAAGAATAGAGGAAGTTGAGATTTATCACTTATTGTGGACACACATCTTTTTGTTTTTAGGTTTTTATCAGTTTGTGCTGGACTTGAGACTGACTGATAACATGGCTTATTAACTCTTAAAGATACAGTAATAAAGGGGGAGTCATATGTAGTCCATAGGAATAGAATGTATATCTGTAAACAGCGTTCAAGAAATAAAAGTTAAATCTTTTGGTTAAAAGGAAAAAATTATGGTTTTACATAGCATAATTTCACACCGCCAGTTCAGTGCAAGTTAATATAGCTTTATAATAATAGGTCCTTTGACCAGGTCATTGTTAAAACTATATGAGAGAGCAGTTTATTCAACTCTATGATAATCATTAATAATCGATAATAGAATTGAATAGTACTCCACCGATTTAACTTTGCACTCCTCCTGTTACATTGTTAAAAAAAAAAATTGGTAGATCAGAACCAGAGATATCGTCTTTTGTATTCCACGCTTTCCTGTACCTTGCCACCTACATTACTCACAATGTAGTGACATCACTTAAGGCAATTATGACTTCATGCAGCTCACTCTGGAGCCACAAAAGGTTTTATGCAACTTGTTTCACATTATGTAATAGTTTTCCCCTATGCTGTAAACAGGCTTTGATGTGTAAAACCAGTGAGAGTTTGCCTTCAAAGTCATAGTTACCGGTTGAGTTGGGTTGAAAGGGTCTTATACTAAGAGGTGTATCTAATCATTTTTCAGCCTCCGTTTACTTACATTCATTCAAATTTTTATTCATTCAAAATAGGCAGCCTTTCGTATTGGTAATGGCAAATTTACTCTTTTTACAGGGCCAGTGCCACTCAGTCACAATTGTGCATAATGTGCATACGGAGTCCCTTGTGAGAGAACCCTCATGGGGAAAAAAAGGATAGGGTTAGGGTTTTCATGCTTTCATGCTCATTTGGCAGACCCCAATACAGAGGGAGACAAACTTCTGGCAGCGGAGTCACTTTCAAGGGAACGGAGGAGGACCTTTAAGCTACAAGAGGAGAGAGGGAAAAAGCTCTGTTCCCAGGCTATTAATGTCAGCCATTGTAGAGGCTGAATTCCCCAATGAGTTGATCAGTGATTAACTCGGAGCTAATTGTGCTCTTTGACCAGGCCACAAAAGTACGGGAGTGCTTAAAATGCCCTTGAAGATTTTTGGGGGAAGTGCCGAGATTTGGGTGGGTGGGAATTTGTGCCATCGCAAGTTGACACAATTATTGTATTTTCCTGAAAATGACAATTAATCAAAAAGCACAAAATATGTTTCTTACCCCCTGTTGTCAGTTGTGAACATTTGCAAACACATTTGTCGTTGTCTGCATCCTTTGTACTGAAATCACTTCCTGGCTGCCCAATGCTGCTTATTTTGCCTGCTGTTCCACTGAAGCCTTTAAGGTGTATCCTGTAAAATGGAAAAGGAAAAATGAAGGAAGAGGAGGAGGAAGTCCATGATTGCTGTTCCTCAAAAGGCAACGTCCCACTCACTCTTACAGTTCTTTGGCCATAACTTCACTACTACTGGGTCTAAAATGGGGTTTGGCATAAGGATTCAATTGTGAGCTATTTGCATTACAGTTTTGTTACAGTTACAGTTTTTTCTGCTGTTTGTGTGATTTCTATTTTTATTTTTAGGATTTGTGTAATGCTACTTGTGCAGTTTCATTGTAGGAGTTGTTTGGAATTACTGAGGCAACTAACTGAAAACCAAATTGGTCATAGTCAAGTAGACTTGAGACCTGAATAGTACTGTGATGAATTGGAGCATTTCAAGGTCTGTTTGTCAAATTCAAAGGAAGTATCCATTCC